GTAGGGTTAATAACTGATCAGCTCTATACATCACCTTTGAGCTACTTACAAAATTATCTGATTATTATAGGAAAATGCTCTGTGATTTGTCCATCATCTGTTTTCTTACCTTTGTCTCTTTGGCCCCACTCCAGCGCCAAATGTAACACTTTTAGCAGGTCAGCAAAAGTCTTCAACACTCAAAGCCAAATCCTTCTAAAAAACCAGATAACTGGGTCAGGTGTCTCGCGGGCGTTGTGCTCTTGGGAGAAATCTGACCTTGATTATCACTGCTGAGAAAGTCTGAAGCCTAGAGTGGCCTTTCCCAATGAAATAAAAAGAATGGTTCTGTGAACTGTAACTGGTTAGCAGTTGGAGGAGTTTATTTTATTTAGTGTCAAAGTTGACTGACATTTCTGAATATCTCCGATACTCATTACTGTTATTCACCCAGCAAATGGTCCTTGTTATTCCACCACTAAGACTGTTTAAGCCCTTTCCTCTAACAGCAGTCAATATATCCTCTAGCTACAACCCTGAGAAAGTGAGAATTGTGTGTGCTGAACAGGAATTGCAAATAGATATCATTCATCATTCACTAGCCTCTGTACTCTTTGTAAACAAGTCTTAACAGATTCTGTAATATTTGCTAAGCCGTCCTGCAGTGTTTTCAAGCTGAGGAAGATTAAAAAAAAATATTTAAACTCTTCCTAAAGGCTATTATTTGGACACACTCTTAATCCATACAGTTTTTGTTTCAATACATTTGCTCTTCCTTGAGTTCTTCATAATCTCTGCGCCCTGTAGAGCTCTTTGGACCATTCTGGGGGCTTATCTTAAAGTGCCTGAGCGTGTGGGGGAAAGGAACGGGAGAGGAAATAATCAGATCGAACCTCCCAGGGAATTGTATTCTCCCCTCCCAGACCTCAAATAGAAGAGATGGACAGATGTGGTGTGCCAATTCCCTCTGAGCCTTCCAGAGCAGGTTACCGCTGTCCTGGATCTCTAGCAGCAACCACAGACTTTTCACTTGCCACCGACATTTCCCGCACGCTGTGGGGTGGGACCTGGCATGTTCTGCTCTAGGTGACTGCACGTGTCGAATCTCTCCGTTAACTGCTGTTGTCTTAGGGTTTGTGTTGGCTGGTTGCTGATCAGTACGGGGCAATGACAGCAGAAACGAGCAGTTGTTTGATAATGACTTTGAGCAGGTTTAATTTTCTGTACAGAGAAGGGAAGTGATACATGTTAATCTGTGCTTTTCTTTCTCCTCTCTCAACTTTATAGTAGCTCGGGTCTTCATGCACAAATATGCGCTGTTCATGTGTGACATGGAGCCTGGCTTCTTTTCTGTTAGAAACACAGCTTATTCACTCAGCGAAGATTTTTCTTTAGGGAGAATGCAACTTTCTCCTCTGATTTTGCAACTGAAACGTAGCAAGTTCTCTTCTTTTATGATGCTTGGATGCATAAGGAAAAGCTGACTGCGAAGTCTGTGGCTACAGATTTATTACAGAGCAACTTTTGCAGAAGCACAAAGCATCTGGTCCCCGCAGACCGGCTGCTCTGAGTTGTGTGTTCCAAAGCTATCAGTTAGTAAAGCACCAGAGTCAGCAACCGTAACATCCTGCCTTGTTTATAAACTGCAGATTTCACCGAGAAGGATCTTGAAATCTCCAAGGAAATTTCCTCTTTGGAAATTTGTCCTGATGTTTTTTTTGCTAGGCTGCTGAAATAGTGCACAGAATAGAACAAGTTTTCCAGATGAACTTTAATTCTACCAACATGAAGTGCTGGAAGGCATTTTTCTAATAGTGAAACAATAGCTTGAGCGTTACAGGATATTTTCGCCCTTAAATTGAATTTCTCTGTCTTACACCTATGTACATGCGTTTATATGACCTTTTGGACTCAAATGCAAACATGTTGCTACTAATTGGTATCCAATTTAGGTACATGCTATCTTAAAAATGCTGCGATGTCAGTAAGAGAATTTCACAGTAGAAGTGTCCAATTTATGTTTTAGCAATAGAGGATCATTTCCAGAAGAATTTTTGTCTGAAAGTGAAGTGCTCAGCTTCTGCATCTCTTTCTGCTTGTAGGATCTTTGAAAGATTTATCATTAGCTTCCAAATGCTTCTCTGTGATCCTGTATCATATTATGTGTCTCTTACGGGAGCAAGAAAATCACTACAGATTCTGAGCTGTGCCACCACCATGCCCTTATTAAAGTACAACTACTACTTACCTAAGAGAAGTTGGTGGCCTCTGCGAGAATCCTTCTGGATTCATGACATTGTTTTTAGTAAACTCAAAAAGAAGATCCATAAAGCCAAGTCAGAGCTGGTGTAGTCCTTTACCTGGAGCATATAGTAAACACATAGCTTAATATTGAGGTTATCTGTCTTGTTGCTCCTTTTTTTTTCTGTAGGTATATCTACATAGAAAGCACTTTTGTCAAATCTTTTAATAATGACTATTTATTTTGGTTGTCATCTGTTTTCTTCTCTGTTCTCAGTACTAGCAGAGTAGCACACAATAGACCTGGAATAAAGAATATTCATCCCTAGCTAACTCTTTTACTGTTGTACTTGTAAATGAATGTCCCTCTCCGTTTATATACAGTAATATGTCGTCAGGAGAGTCACTTTATCATGACATCAGTAAATGCCTGAATTACGATTTTTAAGCCTGGCTTTTTCAACGCAGTGGAGTCTTTACTGTCTCTTTGGATTGCAATGTGTGATGATAGATACGGTGTTGTGACTATAAAAAGAGTAATTCTTGGAGTGCTCACTTTTAATATCTATATTTAACTCTGCATTTGTGAGGAAATAATATGCGTCTTTGCATGCTGTGTTCTGGAGGAACACAGTTCATTTACAGTACAAAAGCAAAGGGTCCCGTAATTTTGGGAATCTCTCTGGGTCCTAACCCCAGCATCCTCTGCAGTAGTTTAACCACTTTTTGGATGCATTTAAAAAAAATCTTCAGTTGTTTTTCCTGAAATTTGAAAGCTTAAAACATAACATTTGGAAATCAAAATCATATATGAATACACATGCTTTTCTGTAAGAGCAGTGTTTGAGAATTCACAGCTCATGGCCTTTTAAGGTCAGAAGCACTTATGTTATTGAAAGCATTAAAGGGACATAAAAAACGCCTAACAAAGATTTAGGCCCAATAGTAGATAAGAATGTTAAAAATCATCAATCATGATGCAAATGAAAGCAGAATTTTTCATGAAGTTGTTATTGAAAAGAAGAAAGATGGCATCTTCCTATTTTATTGTAATAAAGATAAGCTTTCTGTATGACCCAGAAGTGGGGCTGAGATGAAACAATCACCCTCAAAAGTAACTTTTTTGTTTTTTTTTTTAAACTGGAAAAACTATTGTATGTCCCTATTTCAAATGGTAAATGGAATAATTTAGGTAAGTATAAGTTAGTAAATTTGACCTCTACCCCTAATAAAATCATGGAAAAGGTGATATGGGACATGGGCTGCAGAGGCTCAGGCAAGGCATGCAAAATTATGGTTTATGAAAAATATGTCATGCCAAACATTTATTATTAGTTGTTATGATAAAATAGAGTTAGGCAAGGGATTTGAACCTGTTCTATGTAATGTTTTAGTAAAGAAAACAGCACTAGACAAAATGGACTTAGTCTGTATCAAGTGGAATAAAAACTAATTAGCTGCTTGATCTCAGAAGGTTGTAAGAGAGAAGACCTCATGCTATGTGGATGGACCAAGGACATCCAGCGCTTCACAGTGTTAGACTGAGAGAGTAGCTATCTATTGGAAGAACTAACCTCTATCATTTGAAAATGTGAAATCAAGGTCTTTTAAAAGCAAAGCTACAGTTCTACTAGATATTCTGGAATTAATACGAAAGTTATGACTTGATCCATAGTGCAAGAGGTTACTGTAGATGCTTACAGTTACCCCTGCCTGAGAATCTGTACATCCATGTGTGAACACCTATTTGCGTTGTCTCCAGAGCAAGCTGCCAGCTTAATTCCATACAATGAGAAATTAGCCAGTGCTATTGATCTGTAGTCTTCTTTATAGGAGACTTCCAGAGTGCAATCAATGTTACGCTTTTTTTGGTTTTTTATGCTAGCAAAACTTTAAAAGATTTTTTGTGATTCTCAGTGCAATTAGCTGTCATGCAGAGGGGGACATGTATTTTAGGATTATAAGAAATTAGTGGATTTAGAAGGATGTGCAAATATTAAACATGCAGTTTACAAGGACCCACAGGTCTTCAGTTTCTTTCTTCAGATGTATTTGTGATACTATTTCAATAGGGAAAGCTTCTTAAGGTAAGAATTTAATTGAAGGTCTTATTTAATTGGTCTGCTAAGAAGACATCTTTCACAGGGCAATTTTTCACTCACCTTTACTTTGCATAAAGTTTCATAATACTTTCTTTTTCCTCTAGTCTCAAACTCTTTTCTAGTCTGTAAGCCCTCCAGGGCAGGTATCTTATTGTAAGTCTGTACAGTACTGAAACTAAACCCTAGGTGTGTTTAGATACACATTGGTAAGCGTCACTGAAATTTTTGAAGACTCGAGTTTCAGTGTGTGAGCAAAATACCATGGTTGCGTTGCGAATGGTTCATCTCTGCATGTCTTCAGATTGCTGTAGCTCTGAGCATCCGTTCTTTGCTCCTGCAGTGACTGAACATAGCAGTGGCAGATAGTCTGGGTGCTGGGTCTAAAGAGATAACCATAAAAGGGTCAAGGTAGTGCCACTTGCAATTCTGGAAAACAAGTGTAAGGAGTGTTAAGAATAGAATAACAGAGTAGTCCTTCTCTTCTACATCACCCTTTTGCCAGCAATTCTCAAAGTAAGAGATAGGTAGATGAGTAATACTACCCCCATTCAAGATAAAACTCCTGCCAGAAGCTTGAGATCAACACAGGTGAAACGATGCATTCAGTTATTTCGTAAAGCACGCACTGACCCACCGTCATAGTCCCAGCTGATTATTTTTCATCTTTCTTTTATTCAGGTTCTCTCAATTTGCCCAAAGGACATGAGAGCAGATATTTGTGTACACCTAAACCGGAAAGTTTTTAATGAACACCCTGCCTTTCGGCTGGCTAGTGATGGCTGCCTGCGAGCCCTGGCTGTGGAGTTTCAGACAATCCATTGCGCCCCAGGAGACCTCATCTATCATGCCGGGGAAAGCGTTGATGCTCTTTGCTTTGTGGTCTCAGGATCTCTAGAAGTCATCCAGGACGACGAGGTGGTGGCTATTTTAGGTACTGTTTTCTCTACTGAAACGCTTCTTAACTCTCTGAGTAATGGGTCGGCTGTTTTGTCAGGTTCATCTGATCATCCTGCGTGATGTGAAGGTTACCTGGCAATATCTAATGGTCCATCTCAACAGGATGTGCTTGTCACCATGTATCCAAGCTCTGCACAGCCATTGAGGCTGTACTTGAATACAGTCTGAGCAGCAGCATCCTCACAGTTTCACTTGTGCCCTGCATGTGCATTAGTTGAATTTCATTCTGTTCCATTCTTTTTTTCCTTCTCCCTTTCCTTTCATGCTGTCTCTTTCTCTGGTCTCCCCAGTTTTTGTTTGGCCTAAGAATATGCTATTGCTAGACTGTGACTGAAAAAAGAGGATAGGTCTGTTTCCCTATACCAGGGGATAGGTCTTCTACTGAAACAGATATATCAAGGTCAGGCTAATGGTCCTCTGGTAAGATGGTCTACAGCTGTAAAGACATCAATGCGGTGTTGTCCAGCAGTTTGGTGTCTTATTTCATTCTGTTTCAGTTGAAGCATCTTACGGAGTGTATGGTAAACCTTGAAGTAGAGGTAATAGTAGGAGGAGACAAATAGGACGTGTATTTCTGTAGGGAATAAAGGAGTTAGCAACAGAGTTTTCTTTTCGAACATAAAGTAGTAGGAACAAATTGCTAGAGCCAGCACCGCAGGAAGGGAGGAGAAAACATACTCATGAAGGAACTTCCAGTTTGCCACAAAAGCCAACAGTGTTCGGGTGGCAACTTTAAAGGAAAAAATGTAAATCTCATTACTGTGGAAGGGAGGCCGTGCTATTGAAGAGGGAAAATATGCTCTGCTCCCTGCATTTCACAGGTTATTAGTTTACGATTATTTCATGTATAACTTTTAGAAATCTCTCCCTGCCCCACACTTTTTCACTAATGAAATTATGATACACAGCTTTAGTAACTCAGAGCAGCCACATGAGGAAAGAAAAAAGGCTCTTTCTCTATGAAAAAAAAATAGACATTGAAAGCCTTGGATCACTCTAATTATAGTTTTACCTTGTGACCAGTTTGCTCCTAGAATAGTAGCTAGGAACTCAGGGAACAGAGCAGTATCAGCATATTCTGTGTGGAATGAGCTTTATCTAAGCAGAAGCGGTCTGACCAGTGTCATTTGGATATATTTTCCTTTTGCATAGCTTCAAATAATAACTAGTGTCAATTGGGACTACAGGAGACTAGTGGTTGTCATAAGATGGAGATGTGATGTCTCCAGAGATACTACTGGAGCCACAAACCCTTCATCTTTTATTCCACTGAGAATGCTCTTCCTGCCCAGTATGGCTTACTGGTCACAGTTACAGAGTCTCTGGGCAGAAGAGAATGTGCTTGAAATTCTTTGAATATCCTACCAGAAGAAATGCCCATTGTTTTATATCAGTCTCAGGATTTCCATGTTAACCTTCACCCTGGCCTTTTCATTTGTCTGTACTCTAGCCCAGACTAACACGTGCAGTCTCCTCAGGGTAGCAGAATTGTCACTTTTAGTGAACTGGCTTCAGAGAAAATAAACAGTGGGATTTGACCATGCCAAGACAGGAATGTACCATCTGTTCCAGCCAGTGCCACAGTAGGGAGGGAGAAATCCCCAAAATGGAGGAAGTTCCAGGTCAGTCACCAAGTCACTCCACTGTGTTGTCTGGTTTGCCAGCAGTGGGTGGGAAAGAGCCTAATGCAGACTTTTCACTAACCTTTGTGAGATTGGGACTGGTGTAGCTGATGGCAGGACTGAGTGGTCAGCAGTAGCTTTGAGGCAGGAATCATCCTTAGTCACCAGAGCAATGTGATGAAGAGCTGGTGGCTCTCCTTGAAAATTGGCCAAAACCTGTCTTGGCTGTTTAGCTTCTCTTAAATTAGAGCTGTGGCTCTTTGAAGGCACATCCTCTGGGCAGTCTTGTCCTTGGGGACCACTTACATCCTCACTGAGTCTCCATACTGTTTCTTCTCTTTAAGGGCAGCTCAGTGGGGTGGCTCTGGAGGACTCTGTGGCTTCCTCTTGTATCTCATGGGGACAGTTGCCTGGGGAGATGAGGGTGGGTAATTACACTTGTGCGTTGTTTTGGCATGTGGAAAAAGAAGGGAAGATCTTGGGAGTCGTTACTGGTCATGAATCAATGCTTCAGATCCTCCTCGGCTGGCAGCAAGAGGGAGGAAAGCAGAAATTTGGACAAGCATGTAGCCAAAGTAGATTCCTGATGTGTTGCCATACAAGTTTGTGTACACGTGCGCTGCGCTAGTGTGTGACAGGTTGCATGTGCAGGTGTGTGGATGGGACTGCATGGAGACAGCTTCCTAAGGGCATATACCCAAGTCTTCCCAACTGGAGAGTATGAACTCAGGAAGATGCACATCCACACTCTTTTGAAATACCTGGTGCAGTTTTCTGTACTCTAGAATATATTATGGGCTTTAAAAAGAGAGATTTGATGTAAGAATGAATATGTTATCGTATTGAGATGTGAAGTCATTATGCTGAAAGCTCCTAAATCTGCAGTTTCCATAGTAAAATATTCCTTGTACTTCAGCTCACTAGGCCATTTCATTTTCATTATTAATCTTAGTCACGACAGGATCTCTTATGTTGGCTTACAGCGATTTAAAAAAAAGAAAAGCTTTAAAAATAAGTAGCAGCATTTAACTAAATAAATGGTTTTCAGGGTGTTAAAATGAAAATAAAGAGTAAATGTGCAATTTACTAAACTGGAAACCATCACTAAGTGGATTACATGCAAAACTATTGCATTTATTAATGAATATTGTGTGTTTGGAATAACAGTGAGAATTTGTTGTTCCTACCTGATAGATATTGTGAATTTAGTATTTATGATATTCTCCATTTGACTGGGGAGACTTTTAACTGTATCTAAAGTGAATTGGCTTTAATTACCCCAAGTGCCTTCGATTCTGCTATGACGGCTGACAGCCAATTCACTGACTCAGAGTTACATTTATTATGTGATACACGGACTGGTAGAAGGTATAAATCTGACTTAAAGCAAGATAAACTGCCACTGCTAGTAATAGGCAAACTGAGGAGTTTTCCCATGCTCTAACGTTATTTAAAACAATAGTAAATTGAGTAATTATGAGATGTCCTATCCAAAAATTCACTTGCGGAAGAAAATGCCTTTCAGATGTATTTATGAAGACATTTATAGAGACAGCTATGGCATCTGAAATAGGGACCGCAGATCAAATGTTTGAGAACATCATTGCTATTGATTGCTTCCATCTTGAGAAGTTCAGGCACAAGGAGAGTGAATCTGCGTAAGAGGAAGTCCAGGTTTGAAAACTTCTGCCAGGCACGAAAACCTGTGTAGTGTGTCTTGAATACTCCAAGCATCTGCTTTTGCACTGTTTTTCCAAGGAAAAGTCAACTTACAGAGTTATACTGTCAATCTTCCCCATCCCGCAGCAATAACCTAGAATGGAAGTAGGATACGTATCCATTGGAAACTGGTCCCAGTTAACGCGTCAGGTCACAGCAGAAGTGTGGCTGGCATTTCATGATCCATATGGGGCTGTCTGCTGTTCCTGCTGCTGCCCCTTCTCCCCAGTTGCCGCGTGCCTCCCTCTCCCCCCACCAAGGAACTGCTGCCACTGTCGGACATGCCGTACGCCAGCCTGCACTCCCCAGAGAGCCATCCATTTCGGCCTCTTGAGCTTGCTTAGGACTTAGTACTTTGCAACTTGTTAACAGTACTTGTTATTCTTAATAGTGTTTTTCATCCGAGGGTATTGTTGTTTCTTCACCGTGCTCACCCATAGAGGGAAGATACTCTCGGCTGCAATCCCATCCTTCTGCCCTCCCTGGTGTTTCTCAGGCCCTTCTGGGAGTTGATTTAATGTGTGAAAACGGCAAAGGAACCACCTATATTGCAACAGGACAATTTTCTGCCATTTTCATGTGTTAAATTGGCTCATGGAGGGATCCAGCAACTGCCAGGACTAGTACCAGAGGAGCACGGACCAGTGTGGCTCAGAGCGGACAAGGAAAAGCGGGGAGATAAGGGGAAATGAACCCTCATGGCCAGAGACACTGACTGACCTCCTTGCCTGCTGAGACTCTGTCCGCAGTAGGCTTACCATCCCAGCCAGGTGCTTTCAGCAGTCTATATCATTGAGAAAACCCTCTCTTTGTTTAGCAGCAGTTTTCTTGGCTCAAAGGCCCCAGCTTTGGCCTTTCTTGGCCTTGAACACAGGTGAAACCCAGTGACTGACAGGGCAGCTTGCAGTGCTGTGACGTTTTGTTCTCCCCTGGTTTGAATTTTTTCTCGTTTGTATGTAATCCAGATGCCCAGCTGCTGCAGTAATAAACATTACAGAAATCAGTCAAATAGGAGGATGATTCTAATTGGGCCTAGAGATCTGCAGTTTGTAGGATTCATTAATGAAGGTACCCAGGTGCCCTGTTACATGCCTTATCTTCATTTCTCGGGGACAGTCTCCTACCTTTCCCGTGCCCTAACTGCTGGTCCAACAGAGAAGGCACTGCATTTGGAGCTGGTGCAAAGGGGAGCTACTTTGCTGGAGAAAACAAGGTCCAGCCATTTTAACATAGCTTGTCTGCAGTTGCCAGGATGACGGGGAAGGACAAAGAGTCTTGGCTCTAATTCCCAAAACTTTGCTAGCAAAAGCAAGGTGACCCTGAGAAGCCACATCAGTAGTTTTCCACTGGCTCAAGTAGGAGTAAACAATTTAACTAGCGCTGCTCTGTATGGGGAAGTATTATCAGTGGGGAAGTCTTAGGAAGGACAGAGGGCTCGAAGCCCCTCAGGCTAATGAAAGCAGGCATCTGCTAGCATAGGGCAGATAGCAATCCACCCTGCTGCAATTAACCTGAATTTGCTCCTGGCAAGGCATTTTGTGTAAGTGGCAGTGCCAACCACCTATTTCTGGAAGCTGCTTTCCAGCTTCTTGTGGTAGCACTGCTGACTGCATAAGTTGTAGAGTAACTTAAA